CCGGAAAGTTGAAAAACCTCATGTAAAAAATAACAGGTTCTTTTATGAACGTCATAGCCAATCAAACATCAGAATTTAAAAAATTCAAAAAATGAAAAAAAATAGAAGAATCGAATTGAAACTCACTTGAAACTACTAGCCTCTTCAGATTTTGCTTCTTTTTCCATTTGAATGAGGAATGCGTCCACAAAATCGTCCCCCTCTCCCTCGAAAACATGCTCACCGTTTGCTACAGCTTCTTGCCTGGAAGATCACTTCAAGATGTCCAACAACCTTTACAACTTTGCAAATACTGGCGTATGAAGCACATTCCAACCTTTTCTTAACTTGCTCACTCAGAAACTTCAGAAGATCATTCTGAGGCTGCAATAAAGCTTCGGCTCTTCGGCGGAAGAATGGAATATTCATAGTCCAGCGGTTGATGAGCGCATCCCACGGCTCAAATCTGTCGAAAATATTATCCAGATCGTTTTTTAGACGGAAAAACGTTGATTCTTGATCCTAAACATATTCCGAGGAAATTCCGGAGCTAGGTTGGATTATAGCTTTTTACCTTTTCGAAACGTTCCGTGAATAACAGTCGGTTGATTATGTTACCAATCAAAAGATCAAACATCTGGTTGGGCTGAATGGATATTTGACCGTTTGTCATTTGCTTCTCCAGTTCCTCGCACCTATATATGGAAATCAGATCACTACAAAATATTCCATAGAAATGGGTACATTCTATCACATCTGCTTTTTGATATTTTTATATGTCTTACATTCCAACTTGTCCTAATTCAAATTACAAACCAGATTATTTGGCAACCAAATACACTTCATCATCCAGCAACCATGAAAATTGCTTTTTGAAAACCGTTGAATGACCCTAGTCAACAACGTCTCTTATTCTGAATCAAATCGTCTCATGCCTTGCTGAGACGAATTAGGCGGAAAATGATACTCTTTTTAGTCTGGGATACAATTAACCTATTGCTTATGCGAGTAGAGCCGTTTTAAAAAGTTAGGGTTGGTCGAAAGCAAAAATCAAATGACTGTAACACTCAATAGAATTGCTTGAAACAGCTGTGATCTTCAAAGTTCATACTGCAGGATTATTATTTGCGATATCTACTTGGTACATAACTGCGTTGGTGAAAGGAAAACAACTGTATAAATTTGTGTGGTTCAA